AGGTTAAACCAGGCAAATAAAAATGGTAGTGAAGGAAACCAGACCATGTAGTATGGCTGGAGCATTGCAATATGAGGAAAAAGAGAGCTGGACACCAAAATATTAGCTTGAGGAAAGTATGAAAGGATACAGGTATTGAACTGAGGTCTTGTTTTGATTTTTTTTTTAAATTTAGTGGGTAATAAATGGCTACTTGTCTTTTGGGGGGAAAAATTTATAGCAGGAATGGACAAAGTTCTAGGAGGATAAACTTAGCAACCCCATACATGAGGTAGGCAGGATTCTAAAAGGACTCCTGCTAACCTAGGATCTTGTACAATCCCCTCCATTCTGAGTGTGGGAAAAAGCTGAAGGAATGAGTGGATATCACTGGAGTGATTAGCTTTACATTGTCTAGCAAAGCCAACTGTTTAAAAAAAATAAAAAAGAAAAGTTTTTCCTTCATGAGCCTAACCTTAGGTAAGGTTTTTTTAAAGGACAGGGGCTCCTTCTGGAAAAAGAGAAAGTATTACATTCAATGTGCAAGACATTCTTCATTGCTACTTGAAGATGGAGGGGATCACATGGCAGAAATGATAGGTGGTTTCTAGTAGCCAATAACAGACCTCAGCTAGCAGCCACCAAGAAAATGAGACCTCGGGTCTAGGACTGTAAGGAACTGCTAAAACTGAAATGAGTTTGGAAGAGGATTTCTACCCAGAGCCTTTGGATAAGACCACTGCTTTGCCAACTACTTGGCTATGAGCCAAGAACTCAGTTGAGCCCACCTGGATGGTTAACCTGCAAGACTGTGGAAAAACACACGGGTGTTGTTGTAGGCCTCTAAGATTGTGGTGATTTGTTATGTGGCAACAGAAATCAAATATAGTTGGTGGGGGAGGAACTAGAAGCCACTTAGATTATGAAACTAACCTAGATTAAAACAAATTAGTACCTCAATAAAAAAGTTACCATAAAAATAAAGAGGTCAGATGGGAAAAATACCAAAGAAACATCCTTTATGTGACAGCAATGGATTCCAGATGGAGGCCAGAGGAAAGAGAGTGAATATGAGTCTAAGACAGGAACCTGGAGGGCTGAAAGGATAATGGTGTCATTTATAAAAGCTTGGAAACCCAGAATAAGACTGGGAAGCAGGGATAATCAGTTTTATTTCAAATGCTCTGAATTTATGATATCAACAGCAAATCCATAAACTCATCAAAATGAAGGAGCTGCAATTCTGTAAAGAAATTAAGGTTAGAAATGTCATTTGTCACCGGGCATGGTGGCAAATGCCTAGAATCCCAGTGACTCAGGAGGCTGAGGCAGGAGGATCATGAGTTCAAAGCCAGCCTCAGCAACTTAGTGAGGCACTTAGCAATTCAGTGAGACCCTGTCTCTAAAAACAGTACAAAAAAGGGCTAGGAATGTGGCTCAGTGGTTAAGTGCCCCTAGGCTCAGTCCCCAGTACCAAAAAAAAAAAAAGAAAGAAAGAACAATTGTCACATTCCTGATAACCAAATCAAAGTACATGGCTCAAGTGAATTAATTGAGAAAACATGTGAAAAGAAAGATTGGTAGAAATTGGAAGAGGGTCCCCAAAGAAAGACGACCCCCACTTCTGTGGATAATACCCTTCCTCTGTGTGGAATATCTGATCTGGAACAGTCTCGGGAAATGACCTGCTTAAACTATTACCCCTCAGTTTAAGTATTATCTCTTCCATACAGCTTCCCTCCTCTGATTAGCAGACAAAATTGCTCAGCCAGATAAAATTATATTAAGATTTCTTAAGTTAATTAAGAAGATGTTCCTATATCCCCAGTAGGCTTAAGTTCAGAGGAAGGGACCAAATGATTCCACCTCTACATTCTCAATACTAAATTAAATGTCAAGATCACAATAGTTACTAAATATTTATTGAATGAATGAAACAAACAAGGCAGTAGTGAAATAGATAAGAAGGAACCAGAGCGCCCACAACTACTAATTCAGGCTTACATGAATATTCAATAGTAATTAAAGGAAAGGTGTTCTTGGCATTTCTATAAGTTTTTTTTTTAATTTATTTTTATTGGCAAGTTATAATTATATATAACAGTAGGTTTTATTGTGATATATTAGCACCTGTACATAAGTAGAATTTGGTCTCATTTGTGAGAAGATTTTAGACAATGAATGTAAATCATGGAAATAAAGATACAGAGTATTCACAGAAACATATACGCAGAGGATTTTGCTGACAAAAGTAGAGCTAAACTTAACAGAATCCAGTAATATCCTAAATTTGTGTTTGCTGCTGTTTTCAACTCATGTCTTTCTAACTTTTCTTGTGTTTAGGAAAAGAGAGTGAGGTATGTCCTATGGTTTAATAGCTGTTTGTAACAGTAGCACTAATATAAAATAGGAAAGTTCTATTATTAAAACATTAAAGCAACTTTAATTCATTAATCAGATGTTTTGGAGAATTTAGATACAAGACACTTGTACTACTAATACCTTCATCTCTGAAGTTACTCTTTCTGAAAAGCTGCACTTTTCAGGGGTCCTGAGCATCAAAGAAATCTGATGTTCAGCCAAAATTTTGAATCCTATGATTTATTTACTCATTAATTAATTGCTTTAGGGAGGAGGCTTCTAAATATTCCAGTATTCGGAAACCATTTAATCCATCCAGATCTAAGACTCTGTGTGCTTCTCTCTTAAAGTATCTCAACTGGCATCTCCAGGTGTTCTGACAGACTAGAGACTGGATTTTTGATTTTGGGTTTTTTTTTTTCCCCAGTTCAATTTGCTTTCAATTCAATTCCCCAAAAGGTCACTCAGACAGCTGTGAATGAGTAGGTTTATTTGCATTGCTGGTCATGCTGCTGCTGGCTTCATCCATTTCAACCATTGCTCCATCTTCCTGGGTGTATTAGTTGCAAATGTGCCATTGTAGGTTTAGGATTTGGCTCCTAAATGCAATCTTCAGTTAACTGGTTTCCACATCCAGACTCTTTATACCATCTTGCAGTTACAGCTGAGAGTCCTGCTAGAGATTATTCTACATGCTTAACATCACCTCATTACTTTGCTTATTCTGAATGTAATGACTGGTCACTAAAATTGATGTCTTCTTTAGAAAAAAAAAAAAAACTGACACATAATTCTCTCAGGTCTCCACTATCTCTCTTTAAGCTTTTGCAATGCTGGAGGCACTATGCTAATGAGAAAGTAAAGGTACTGAGAAAGGACTATACAGAACTAGGAAGAGATGAAGGTGGGCACTGAGGATGCACAGTTGTCTGCAGCCCCACAACACAGCTTCCTACAAACAATGAATTATGTTGAGAACAGAGTGACAAATGTCTCAAAAGAAGTATACACAGGAGTTTAAGGGAGGCAAGTCTCAGGGACACTTTGAAAGGGGAATAGGATGAACTTTTGACAATGATGGTTAGGGCTGTAGGAGACCCAGAATTATATATTGAAAGGTCAGAGGTGACCACCTCAACAGCAGGAGCGGAGAAGAATCTTCTCGATTTGTCATTCTCCCAGGGCAGAGTATAAAGATGTGAGAAACATTAGGGAAGGCAGCTCACAGAATTGAGAGAGCAGAAAGGGGAGGGAACACAACTAAAGATTCACAGGGAAAAATCAAAGAGGGAGTGAGTTTCCAGGGCCTATTGAATTTCGCAATTAGGTCTTCATTATTAATCACAAAAGCTATTATGTTCTCTATGCCAGGCAAAGATCACCCACATGATCCCATTGAATCCTCTCAAACACACTTGAAGCATGTGTTATTATCTGCAGAACAGTTCCTGGGGTGGCTAAGGGCAAAATCCAAACCACAGGGGGATGAGAAGTGACTGAGTGGGGAGAATATAGTCTGCATTTGGGATAAATTTGGGATAAAAAGGGATTGAGCCCCTAGTAAAGGCTAGTCAGTGTGCCAGTCACTTTAACACTGCTTTCTAATGTCATCCAAACAAAACTCTGAAAGGAATGCGCTGTTATTCACCATTAAAGAAGAAACAGAGATTCTGGAAGCTCAAGGTAACCCTTGGGCCTATCTTATTTTCAATAAAATTCAAGGCCCCACAGAGGGAGCAGGGAGCTGCAAGAGACATGGAGAGTTTACTTCATTAGCCAGGAACAAGGACAAGAACATAAGATCCACCAGTTGTACTTTTAAACTTTAATTTAAATGCTAGTTTTATTATTGATACTGTGGTGATTAAGGGCCTGAGCCCAGAAGTCAGACTCCCTGATTTTAGAGCTCATCTATGCTACACTGATTGTGTATCATTTTGCCTTAGTTTTTTAGTCTGTAAAACGGGCTTTGTCATGAAAATTCTTTGAAAATAGTACAAGTGGAACATTTTTTTTAAAAAAAGCACCTAGGATATGATTCATGTGGGGTAAAAAATTGGGTAGTAGTTTAATCTCCATTTACAGCCCCAGAAAAATAGAGAATTAGCAAGTATATGGAAGCTAGCAACTCCAGGAGCCTGCTTGCACTCTGGGATCTTCCAGAAGCCCTGAGTGTCACCACCACTGCTCAATTCTGCAGGGAAACCTCTCCAGGGAGTATAGGGGGGTGAGGGTGGGTGAATTAGCATGTTTGTAGCAAGGAATAGGCTCTCACTGATTTTTTTTTTTTTTTTTTTTTTTTTTTTTTTGCAGCTGGAGAGGGGAGCTATGATGAGAAGCTCTCAGGATGACAGGTAGCTATGGCCAAGAGGCACAGGTGCAGGGTCCATAGCTTCAGACACAAGAAGCCCAGGAAAGGAAATGAGAACAGAATTCACATCGCGATTCTGTTCGGAGTCAGAAGATTAAAAACCCAGGAAGAAACTCTTTTATTTTCCTCTGCCTTCTTGCTAGCGGGAATGTGGCCACTGTTCTCCAAGAGATTAAAAAAAAAAAAAAAAAGTCCCTCCTACTTTTGCTTCCTCTACCTTCTCCCTCCTCTCCCTAGGCACCCCCACCCTACTTCCTCTTCTCTCCCTCCCCCTGCTGGTTCACTGGTTACTTCCCTCCTCACTTCTCTCCTGGCTACTGCCAGGTCCGAGTGCCTACTAGGGCTAAGGAGAGGGCGAAATTGGCAGCGAACTGAACAGATCAGTCAGAGGAAGAAGGAACGAAGTTAGAGAGTCAGAGTCTCAGTCTCTCTCTCTCTCTCTCTCTCTCTCTCTCTCTCTCTCACACACACACACACACACACACACACACACACACACACACACCACGCACTTACACTCAAAACTCGGACTGGCGGTTCCGCGGCTCCTCCAGTCCCTGGAAAAGGCGAGCTAGTGAGCGCCCTCCAGAACACTGCTCCCACCCCAGCTCCGGCACGCGCTGAAGGCAGCTCTAACCCGCGTCCCCAGCGCAGCCGCTTTGGCCGGGTGTTCCCGAAAATAAAGTGGGGAGGGAGGGTAGAGGCAGCTCCTGAAAACACCCGGGCCACACACGCGGCGACCTACAGCTCTTCCTCAGCGTTGGATTGGAGACAACGCCTGCAGCGCCCTGCGCGGGTGAGATCCGCGTCGCTGCCCAAGAAGAGCCCACCTGCGGGTTCGCGCTCAATCAGCGCAGAAAGTGGGGCTTGCCGCTGTCCGGTTCCAGCTGTGCCCTGGGCTCCCAGTGCCCTTACCGCAGCGGCTTAGAAGTTCAACCCTCAGCCTTGTCGCCGGCCCCTCGCGCCTTGGGAGTGTTCCCGTGCGATGCACCGAGCCGACGCGCGGCACCCGGACCTCGCCATGGCTGGGGCGCGCATCCTGCTCTATCTGTGGCTGGGCTTCTTCAGCGTGAGCCTAGTGCAGGGAGAGAGACCGAAGCAACATTTGCCCGAGCTCCACCAAGCTATGCCAGGAGACCGCACGGCAGGTGGTGGCCCGGGCCCAGAGCTGCAGCCTCTTGACAAGGTGTCGGAGCATATGCTGCGGCTCTATGACAGGTACAGCGACAGTGGCAGAGTGGAGGCGGCACGGAAGCCAAGCTCCCGACAACGAAGCTCGCAGCCCCGGCGCCCTCAGCCCTTGCGCGAAGGCAACACAGTTCGCAGCTTTCGTGCGGGAGCAGCAGGTGAGTGCTCGAGGGGAGCCCCCTTCCTGCTGTCGCTCGCTCTTTGGCTTTCTCCCAGGGCCCCTCCACAGCTTCCTTGTCAGCCCTTGGCTCTGTAGTGCTACCTAGGGACCTTTCCCCGCCCTTCGCAGCTGCCCTCTGTGTCCCTTGTCCTGTCACACTTCGCATTTCTCCAGCTGCAATCTAGATAAGCCCAGTTTTATAATCCCAAGTGAGTGGGAGTCTAGAGAAGAGCTCAGAGCAATAGAGGGGGTTGGGGGCGACATTTTATGCTCAGCGTAGCCCTCCTGCTCTGGGTGCCTGGAGTACTTCTAGGGGACCTTATCCCGAAGATTCCTAAATTGGTCAGGGGAAATTCCCTTGGGCTAGGCTCGACCTGTGTTTACCCAGAAGCAGATGCCATTTTATGCCAGCCGAAAGGGCCCCAGAGAGTAAAGCGCACTTGAACTAGACGCCTTCCCCTTGCCTTTTAGGTTTTCGCTTCTCCAGATTTTGCACGGGCTCTTAACTCCTCGCGCCCTCTGTGTTACTATATTTGACACTTTCTACTTGATAGTCCCTACGTGGCAAACACCCAAATAAAACCAGGTGCTTGAGTGTATACATTACTTAAAACCCATCTGGGCAAATAGGAGTTGTACCATCCACTCTGGGAGGAGTTGGGGGCTGGGGGTGGAGCAGCTGCGGATCCTAAACATCTCTTGGAATCTGCCCACGAGAATCTGCTCATCCCATTTTTCAACGCAGATCACTGCAGACTGAAATTCATGGCTTAACAAGGTTTCTTCGCTTAGCCCCTGTGGTGAAGTGAATAACTTAGATGCTAACAGTCTTCCCCTCTTGTGCTAATGGCTTGAGGGAAAGTTTCCAAACCCTATTTATATGCTTTGAGGATGCACTAGGATTTTTCCTTCCTTACATTCATGATAAAGAAAAACGTGAATGCAAAGCCATCTTTAGTGAAGCATCAAAGAATCTTCAAGAAAGGAAACTATGCCTCAGTGCTCTGATACATTTTCCCCAACTTTGATATGTAGGACTCCTGGGGAAAAAAAAAAAGGAAAACTAACACATCCATCAAGGAAAGTCCAAGGTTGAAACTGTGAATAAACTTTAGAGCTCAAAGGCATGATGACATTTACAATAAATGTGAATTATGCTTTCTAATGCAGAAGTCTTTAGCTAGAGGCTGAGCTGAACCAGGTTTTACTTTCTTCTTAGAACCATAAGCATGACTTGTAAGGAGCTCGCTTCCACTAGGGAAACAGAAACCTGCCCTGCATTATCCACAACACCCCAGATCCTTGAGGAAGCTGTCCTGACAGTGAATGATGGGTTTACTTTAGTGCATCTCTGGGGGAAGAGCTGAATGAAGGAGCAGTGTGGAAGAAACAAGGATTAGAAGGAAGTTGGGTGGGCAAGGCAGGAGGCAATACTGCAGATACTCAAGTAACTCTTATGTTGATATTTGTTTTCTTTGTTATAAGCCCAGGGAATAACTGAGGCACTGGAGAGACAAACAATTTATTTTTTTGTATTGACAAGTTTCATTTTTAGTATAAACCACAAGTTTGGAGGTAGAATTTGAGTTTGTTTCATTCACACACATTGTATAGTTTTGTTGTTGTTGTTGTAGACTGGGTGAACTATGTGTAAGGATTTGAATAACTCAGGCACAGTATACTTTGGGGCTTCAATTCATTCTGCACATTATAATTTTAGTGTCCCTTATCAGCCCCACTGTGGTCTTCTAGCATCAAATGATAAACTCTGATGCAGAGGCCAGACATTCCCTTGAAATGATGAATTGAAGCTTGAAGCATATATACAAGGCTGTGTGCCCTGATAAGAAAGGTAATCCCTTTAGCATCCTAGAGACTGTCTTAATGACTTATTCATCAAATGTAGACATTGGTTTTTGTGGAAGCTTAAGTGTCATGTTACCTGGTTGGAGACTCCTTGAGAGGTGGTTCATGTTGGACCCCTTCCAAGAGTGTTTAGTTACTAACACACTGAAAAGACTTTATTATAAGGCAGTCCTGGCTGTAATGAGGCAGGACTCCAGAAAAGTGCTAAGGTTTTCACGTGTGTCCCTCTCGCTTCATCCATATTAGCATTTTCATGACACCCTTCACCTTGTGACCTGTGTTCTGATGTGGGTGAAAGATGCTGTCTGCATTAATAAATTAGATATGTTTTTCAGTTCAAAGTGTTTCACAACATATGGGCTTCTCTGTACCAAAGATGTTCCAGATTTTAATGGAAAGTCAGGTGGTGTGCTATGTACACGGAGTGGCTGCTGATCCGGCAGACTTTCCAAGTGCTTATTCAGGCTGAGTTATAGCCTTAGAGACCTATTTGCTCTTTGGAACATACCTGATTAAAATTATTTATTGTTCTAAACCTAGAATATCTTTGGTTGAAATTTAGCTGCTGTGGTCTCCCTCTGATTACTTTCTACTTAAACCATTACTTGATGGTGGGTGGCATCCATCCTAAATACACTTTCTGCTAACCCCTGTTCTCCTCCCTCAACTCAAGGCAGCTGGTGTGCCAAAACCGTAAGTTTGGAGCACTTATAAGCTTTTTTTGTGACGTGTAAGAGTTTACATAAAGAGAGGTTTTATCTTTCCCTTTGTAAAAGTTGATTTACAAAATTATTGATGGCAGAGACGTTTGGCCTGATAAAACACATCATCTTGAAGGAGGACAGAAGGATATGAAATTCGCCTGTTTTAATCTTGATTTAAGTTTGTTCTTGGCTTTTACATGATGTTTTTTTCTATCACGATCATTCAAGATAGATAATTTATGTTACTTACTTTATCTTTATTCCCATAGTAACTTAATTTCATTTTTCTTGGTCATAAATGTAACCTCTTTAGGAAAACCAATTAAAGCACATATGTTCTTATTAGGAAACTATCACTTTCGATGACATACAAGTACAAAAAGACTACATTTCAGTGGTTATGCATTGTCTTTTTTAAAATCACACATATTTCATGAATAAAAGAGAATGATATTGAAGTAACCCAGATCCACAAGTGAATATTTTCCTTCAATGAGGAAAGAAAGATTCTTTTCTACTAGGAAGCAAAAACTTTAAAAATGAAGAATCAAGATTTTTGACATGTTTCTGAAATGCAAGGTGAAAATATAAGAATTTGGAAAAATAGTATATGATAAAAGGATCATCACACAATAGGAGCTGTTTCTGTATAATATGTGGACCAAGGAAAGCATCATATCTTTTAATGATAAGCAACTATAATTATTTTATTAGAATATACTTACCTTGAAATGCCTAGCACCTAGAAATGAGGCTTGAAACTAAAGAGTACTTTATCTGTTGTTTTTATTTAAAGGACAATAGTACATGTGGAGGAATTGGATGTGCAGCTGCTTTGAATTACACACCACTTTGAATACATGATAGCCTTTAATGAAGTTTTTACTGTAATAGGCAAGACAGCTTTATAATATCTGACATTTAAAAATCCATAATACCATGAATTCTTGATTATCCATGCTCGATGGAAAGGAGAAAGAGAATGAATCACATAAAAAATAATTCAAATTTAGCTTTGTAGTACATTTAGACACACTTGGAGAAACCAAGAGACCATGAAGGTCAATGAAAAATAAAAACCATAAGCAGATAATTCATTCAAGCAAATAATTCACTCAATATTTGTATAATAAAATATATGCATAATTAAAAATGAATTAAGATGTTTACATACATTTTACCTAAGCAGTACAAGTTCACAAGTAATTGACTGAATGAGTTCAGATTTCAAAATAAATAGTCACCTACATGCCCAATCTACTTCTAACTATTTTGGTATGGTTGAATTTTGTTTTTGGAAGAGTCATTGAAGGAAACAAGTTCACCTGCTTCAATGGAAGCATAAATGGGCATCATGATATATTTGCTAGACAATTTTCAAACATACTGAGCTCATCAAAAAATCTGTTATTTCTATTGACCTGATCTAATTTTCTAGGAGAAAATTTCACAAAAAGAGGTCCCTGGAAGATCTTAAAAGGTGCTTACATAAAATTGGATTCCATGGTCAAAAAATTTGGAAGAAGGGATCTGTTTTCTTTGCTGTGGGACCTTTCAGTGCCTTTAGATGCTAATGAGGCTCCTTAAGAGGGGCACACTTTTTGGAGAGAGGATAATTTATTCTTCTCTACATGAATTTTGGAGAATTTTAGTTCTAAGATTGCTAGTTGGGAAAATACTAGTTTAAAACCTTCCTAATTTAGGGCTAGGTTTGTGGCTCAGTGGGAGAGCATTTGCCTAGCATGTGTGAGGCACTGGGTTTGATCCTCAGGACGACATAAAAATAAATAAATAAAACCTTCCTAATTTAGCAAGAAAGAAGATATGCCAAGTTCAGTGACTACTATGAATGAAACCCGTCTTCATTCTCATTTCCCATTCAGTACCTATCTCATGATACTTATGTATATTGTTAGTTTTTGAACTTGGTTATAATTGACATTTTACCGTCTTCCTGCTTTTATGTTGAAAATCTCTCTGAATATAATTTTAGAGTCTCTCTGTCACCAAATTTTATCTTCCCTGCCTCTTTATGAACTTTTCTTTATTGTCTTCTTCTACATGATTAAGTACCTATTTTTTGTTTGTTTGTTTGTTTTAAAGCTACTTTATTTGCAGAAAAATACACTGGGAGATTGTACATATCATTTTGTTAATGTTTTACCATCATTAATACCTATATGAAAGACACATTTGCTCAAGACATCCATCAACTCCCTTATATAATTCCCTGAACTAGCTGTATTTAATAGATAAAATAAAATTATACCCCTCAAGAATCCTCATAAAAAAACTTTGAAAAACTTGGCATATATGTTCTATTGACTAGTCAGGATTTTTGTGCTACAATATAAGACAGAAATTTTCTCCCCAAATTTAGATGGTTTTCTCATTTGTTAAATTTGTATATCCTACTGAGCAAGGGGGT